GATTGAATCGATGACGCCTGTTTGGGCTTCCTGACTGTAAAAGGCCCTTTCCCTTTCTCCTTTCTGGGCTGGGACCTTTCTCCGCAGCTAAGGCGTTGCGGGAATTGCTGCTATTCTAGTTCTTGCCAATGTCTTGGAAGGAGCGGTTTTTGGGTGCTAATTGCTCGGAAGCCATACAGGGTACTTGATGATACTCATTCCCACTTCGGGTCAAGGCCTCCTGTTCATCTTCAGAAAGCGGGAAAAGGCCGGAATTTCCTCTCATCATCTTCTCCTGGAATAGCAGAAGCTCGCATAAACAAGACTTACCTTTTCCTTTTGACTTTTTCTTGGAAGAGGTTCCAGTCCATTATTCATCTCCGATCAAATCTGGATGAACGCAAAGAATCTCACCATTAGGGGCTGTGTGTGGCACAAGTCCTTTCTGGCGCTGCTTGTGAGGATCATCGTTCACCGTCTTCACTGCTGCCTTTATTACTGGCTCAAGCTGGAACCAGATCAAGGGAGCAGAACCGAAACTAATTGATACTGCATTTGCTCCCACTTTCTTCTCCTTCGGCTGCTTCATGGTGATGACCCCGACATCAATTAGAGCTTGGATCTTGTCCTTAAGGGCATAGCACGCCTTGGTAGGATGGTGCACCGCTCTATGAAATGCGCAGTATTTTGGATCATTGATTCTCTTAGCATCTTCCTGATCCTGGACTGGAGGCAATTTGATCTTGTTATTCTCAATGAGGTACTTGAAGATACCGGGAACTTCATCCTCTTTGAACGAATAAACTTTTGGGAACTTCGGCTCCGAGGCTTTTGGCTTCTGGGTCTGCTGTTGCCACCTTGATTGTTGAGGCGCCTTTTGCTGCTGCTGTTGCGGCTGCGCTTGCACCTCGAACGTTTGATTCGCGTTCACGGCATTTGCATGTGCTTTTCCTTTTCCCTTAGGGACAAAATTTGGTTGCGGAGCACTATTTGCTATTTGACCCCTTTCTGCCTTCTTCCTTTTGAGGAATCGTTCGGCTCGTTCTCCTCGCACCTTCAGATCCTTCCAGGTCTTTGGCGGTGCCATTCCCATGGCTTCCAGGATGTCCAATGAAAGATTGTTATGACAGGTCTTGAGGATGAAGTCTTCGTTGACCGGATCCCTACAATTCATTGCTTTATTTCGGAACCTCTTCACAAAGTTTTCGACTGTCTCACCATTCTTCTGCTTCTCATCAAACAGAGTGCCGATTGAGACCTCAGTGTCGTCTTAGGGACAAAGTTCTGTTGCGGAGCGTTATTTGCTATTTGGCCCCTTTCTGCCTTCTTCCTCTTAAGGAATCGTTCGGCTCATTCCCCACACACCTTCAGATCCTTCCAGGTCTTTGGCGGTGCCATTCCCATAGCTTCAATGATGTCCAATGAAAGATTATTATGACAGGTCTGGAGGATGAAATCTTCGCTGACCGGATCCCTGCAATTCATTGCTTTGTTTGGGAATCTCTTCACGAAGTTTTCGACCGTCTCACCATTTTTCTGTTTCTCGTTAAATAGTGTGCCGATTGAAATCTCTGTGTCGTCGTCGAAGAAGTTTGTTAGAAACATATCCTCCATGTCGTCCCAACTGCTGATACTTCCCGGCTTGAGGCGACGATACCAATCGAAGGCCGCTCCGCGAAGAGTGCCAACGAATGACCGTACCATCAAGGGTTCATTGTCGGAGATTATTCCTATATGAGACTTAAAATATATTAAGTGTTGGGTAGGGGAACCCTTTCCATCAAACGGCGTAAAGTTGATTAAATTGAACTTTGTCGGATATGGAATTGATTCCCACTCCCTTGGGTATGGACATGGTATGCCGGACCTTTTCACTTCTTGAGCATTCATCAACGCGTTGATTTTGCTCTCCAAGTCCTTCATCTTCTTGTCTTCACTCGTACTTGTCTTCGAGTGGCTTCGGGAAGAGGTAACGTGGTCCTCTTTTGCATTATCGTCTATGGGACCGCTTCCATTGTCGTTGTTGACAAGAGGGATATTCATGTTGACATTATTCTCTTCCCGCTCATTGACATTATTCTCTTCCCGCTCATTCTCATCTTGATTCAGATTATTGCGGCGACTGGGTTCTCCTTGGTGAGTTGTCAGAGCCGCGATTTGCTGGTCATGCATCTCTCTCATCTGTTGCATGGCCATCTCCATCTCGAATTTGAAAGCTTCCTTCTGCTTAGTTAGGGCATCTTCAAGCATCTTGGTTACCTGTTCGGCGCTGATCATGAGTGACTCGTAAGGTTGCCCCGCACTAGATACCGTGTCATCGGATGCTATAGCCGAATAGGAGTCTGAACCATCATCTGACGCCTCCTCTTCCGAAGGAAGTCCTTTTTGCATCCTTTGGTAGTTCTTTCGCCTATTGATCCCTGACCGCAATCGAGTCATGCGCTGGGACGCTTCGGCAAGTTGATCTGAGCTAGAGGGTCGCGTCGATTTGCCCCTGCCGGTCATATTAACAGACACTTCTAGGAATTCGTCCTCTTGGCGAACGAACTTCTTCCCACGAAAACGCCTTGGCTTGGAAATCCTCTCGAACACCGAGATTCTCTTTGGGGTTTTAGAACAGCAGCATTCTGATAACACCGCCTTGATGATGTTGGCACACGGACAGTGGGGTTCCGTGTCTCGAGCATCTTTCTTCCGAGACTTATTCATACCCCCAGCTCTATAGTACAACTCATCAGTTTGATAACTGGAGCAACCCATAGAGTGTTGGCATGACTTCCCAGGTATAACACAATCATCATCAAACGAATGTGTTTCCCTCTGGGGATATGACGCTTTATTAGCGTTTTCAAGAGTCGCTCGTTCAAGTCTACGCTTTTGCGAGCGTAAAAACTTAACGGGCTCTTGAACTTCGACACGCAATCCAATGCGGTCGATGACAGAGGTTTTCCCTTTGTTATCTTCCTTGGGAGGATTAGCACGACCCCCAATCGGGTTCATCATTTGGGGACCTTTCAACGGACCCAATCGCTCCTTGACAGGTGCTTTACCTCGGTTCCCGGGTAAAGGACCGAGGCAACCTTTCAAAGGAACCCTGGATCTTGAAGGATCCGTGTTCTTACCTGACTCCGTCGGAGGTGCGGGGGCAAGGGGAACGGGATCTGGATTTGACGAAGGTTGGACATCAACATCGTCCGCTCTTGTGTTAGGCGCTGGCTTTGCCTTTAGCACCCACATCTGCTTGAGTTTTGACGGATTCTTGACCGTCTCTTCTTTCTGCATCTCCTCTGCTTTCTGCAGAAGGGCTCGGGCATGCGCAAGCAATGCGCGGCGCTTTTTGATTCGCTCTTCGAGGGTTGAGCGAGTCCTCGTGACACGAACCCAATCGTTCGTTTCTGCCTTAGAGGAGGAGGTGGTTATGCGCCGTTGTTGCTCTTGGCGCTGTCTGGACTTCAGATCTTCATTGTAGCGGATCCCGTCCATCGATTCTGCGGCCTTGACCAACTGTCGTGCAAGGCGTTGACGCCGTCTTTGGCGCACCCTCTTCGACAAGGTTGGAACAACTTCAGCCGTTGACTTCGCGGCGGAGGGGAGATCTGGATCTGCAACTTCGACCACGTTAGATGCCATTGGAGCATCGCGGTGAGTAAGTGCAACGGCGGCGAGGGGATCTTGGATCTTCGATCCTGAGGGCCCGCGAGCACTCTTGGAAGATGATATTTATAGGCAATGGGAGCACCTAGGGTGCCTAGACACCCCTGGGGTGTCTAGGAAAAGCCTAGACACCCTTGGGGGTGTCTCGGCTTGGCCGAGACACCCTTGGGGTGTCTAGGAAAATCCTAGACACCCCTAGGGTGTCTTGGCTTTGCCTAGACACCCCTGGGGTGTTTCGACTTTCCCGAGACACCCCGGGTGTCCCAGTTCAGCCTGAGACGCTCCGTCGTGTATGTTTGATTGTTTCCGCCGTAAATTCTTCGTCCGAACTCGGATTTGAGTGATTCCAAGTGCGTTGGAAGCCTGACGAAGAGTTCTATCCGCTCTGATGGTTGGATTATCTGTAGAATGAACGAGATATGAAGGGCGTTGTTCCTTTTGTGATCCTCGTAGGGTTCCCGATTAGCCCGTGTCTTCGTTGTTCCGAAATCCTATCAGCTCACGTAGTTCGTCGATTCACTTCAATCGTTCATCGACGTCAATTGAACTCCTGTGGATCGGATAGTGACGTTCATCGTCGCTCTTTAACACTGAACCGTTCGTGGAGACCTATAGGCAATTTTCGATGCCTACAGTTAGCTTCTTTACGGCACTTGGAGTTAACCGACAAGCGCGGTGGGCAGTTAGAGCTGACCGACAAGCGCGGCGGGCACTTGAAACTGACCGACTAGCGCGGCGGACACTTGGATAGTCCTTCTTGACTCAGATGATGACGTTCATCGTCTTCCCTTCGTCTCGAGCTGCGTGCAGACACCTATAAGCATTTTTAGACGCCTACACTGCGCACAACAAGGATTACTTGGATATGCCCGATGCTGCAATATAAATTTTCAGTCATGTTTATCATTACAGTAACAGTTGGGAAACGAGGATAATTCCATCCATCAACTTTCCCGTTCTGCACAAACTAAAGAAGTTTGCGCTGGCTTGGCATGTACATGTGTGTGTGATGATGAAGCTTGATGGGATGCACAAGTGTCATTTGCCACCAGTTGCTGATTCTATGGATCAGCTTGACGAGAATTTCGATAATAATTTCCTGAAATTGTGAAATTAGTCTATTACTTGGAAATAAGAAGTTTACAATTCCATGTACTGACTGTCCCAGATAAAACTGTGAAATTACTCTATTACTTGGAAGTAAGGAGTTTGCAATTCCATCTACTGACTGTCCCAGATAAAATGTCTTGGTTGTATCCAGACACAATAGTCTTTATGTATTCTTTATATACTTCATGGCAGAAAATTTTGAGTGCTTTCAAATTTTTGAAGCAATGTACAACGTATAAAAAATAATAATTCCTTAGTATTTTCACTGGTATCTTAATTATCTACACTGTACATGCTGCAGACATCACAAAATCATATACAAGATGCCAAAATACGTGAATACATTTTTGAATGGAATATGTATATTTCACATGCTTCACAATACATGGTTTGTTAATATGAGCTTCTCAATCTCCACTGTTTATAATCTTGAAGATCGAAGGCCGCCACACGCTCTCACCCTTTGAGCTCTAAGCCTCTCGATCTCCATTTGAGTGCTATTTGCTTCTTGTCCACCCTGAGCTAATAAATCATTTTGCAGCTTTTTAATTTGGTTGTCGATGCTCTTAACCTGTTAAGCGTTACATAAATGAGAAAATTGAGAAAACTATGGAGGGAAGGAATCAGAAAGAGAAGAGTGAGACCTTTCGATAAGGCCAACGCTCCATCCCATATTTACGGCAGATCTTCTTGAGGGCTGTGGGACAAATTCCAAACTCCTTAGCAGCATCTACTATGCGAAGGTGAAAATAATCGACAAAGTCCCTTATGTGAAGATTTGCTGTTCTCTCCCTCTGATGTCCAAATTAGAAAGTTAACATTTTACAATTAATTGCTCGTTACGATTAAAAACACAAGTTACTTCATCTTCCGTAACGAATATAACCTGTGCAGCGATTCCAGTCTTCTCGGTTCTGATTGGATCGTTAGAAGCTACTATAGGGCTAGATTGATATAGCCCTGAAATCAAATGATGAGAAATAAATTTTTAGTGACCCCCCAAAAAATCATTACCTCAGGAATCAAACATAAGTCATTGTCGCTAGGAGACGACGAGAATAGGATTATATAAATACCTTGTGGAGGCAATGGTAATACATTGCTGCTTACATAAAGATTTTCTGTCGTCTCCCTCTGATTTCCAAAACACAGTAACAAATTTAGAACTTTAAGTATACCATGGAGATTAAAACACCTAAATTTACATCATACACAAAGAAAACTATAACTTAAGTTTCTTCATCTTCTGTGATCGGGTATTACCTGTGCAGAGATTCCAGTATTCTCGGTTCTAATCAGTTCGTTAGAAGGTACCACTGTACTAGATTGAGGTAACCCTGAAATCAAGCAATGAGAAATAAAATTTGTTAAAACTGAAGTCATTGTTGTTAGGAGGCAACAGGAAATAGGATAGTACCTTGTCCAGGCAACTGTGTTTCGTTGTTGTTTGTGCTTGGAACATCAAAGTATTCATTGTTGCTGGTGCTTGGAACATCAAAGTTTACTCTTACACAAAGGGCATCGTAGAAGCTGGAGACCGAGTCCTGCGTAATTATGTATCCGTTGCTCGCACGTAACAGGCCATAGTCAATCAAGAGCTGCTTTACCTGTTCATAGGTTAGAGCGCTGAAACTGCATACAAAAAGATTTGAATTAAAAAAATATATTTTAGTTAATGTTTATGCAGTTGTTATTATCAAAATATTCGGGATTGGCTACTTAAAAGTAAAACAGATCAGATGGTTTACGATTTATTTTGATATATGGTTTTCAAAGGCCGATCGAGCTTGATTAAATAATGACGCGCATGCCGAAAATGTCATCAAAAAGCTTCATGCGGTCAAAAGATTAAATAAAGCGAGGAGTGACATCAAGCGTAAAAACTATCAATCGGTGAATCTGCAAGTACTTGGTGGAGATTTTATTGAAGAATCATAAATCTCAAGTAAGTCTCTCATGAGGCAATCACGAAGAGTAACAGTTAATGTATTATCAATAGCCTAACCGAATTCTATCGCATGAAACACTAAGAATTTTTTTCGTCGATAAATGACACCGCAGGTCCCCCAAATCATTGTTTACGATGCAAAACACAAATAATTATCAATAGTCACCATCATCTACGACTTGTTCAGATATCTGGAAGAGAAAAATACACCAAAAGAAATATAAGATATTGTTATAAACTTATAAGCAAAAGCTTACTCCATAAAAGAGGGTTCAGAGGTCCGTGGCAACCCATCAACAGTATACTCAAGCATTGCATGATAAAACACACCGAGCCCTCCATGAATCACAAGCCTTGCAGTCTCCAATCCTACAATAAAAAATAGAAAAAAAAATCAAACTAAAAACAAAGTACTACCACCCGATATTTTCAAATGATTCTATAAATACAATCAATAAGTATTTACCATTGGTATGAACCACTTCTCTCAACAGAGTGCACCCACTGCAATCAAATGGGCCGGAGGCGACCAAACCCTGGCTACCCAAATTAGCATGAACCGTTTCCTCTTCATTGTTATCAACTGATGGCAGAGGATGTGGAATTTCTTCGTTAACCGGTTCAATGCATTTTTGGAGTCCGCCGTCATCACCAATTTCAATCTCAATCTCACGCAACCAATCGAGGTTTTCGAATTGATCCAAACAGTCCATTGAAAATGTTGATGAACCCCTCGGCCGAAATTGGCCAAGGGTTGCGGAAGAGATTGCGGAGGAGAAGCAACGGTGATTGAGAGGAGAGGAGGAGGAGTAGAGAAAAATTTCAATCAAGTAGTAGCGCGAAGGAAGAGAAACAGTTAATGCACTTAACGGGCCCAGCGTTTGAATTCGAAAGGGGAGTTTTGTAACCAAGTTGTGCAAATAAGCCTCTTTGAGATCCTCTTTTGCAAAAATTTTGTTCTCTTTGAAAATTGAAAAAACGAAAAAATTAATCATGTGACGGTTTGGAAGCAGGAATTTTTTATTTTGTATGAATAAAAAAAGGCCCAAATCGTTAATAGATCATTACTGAATGTCGAAATAGGCCATAAATTTTATTTATTCATTGTTCTTTGTTTACTCGTTAATGTTTAGCTCTAATTAACTCAGATGTAACTAGTTGTACAAAAATTCTAATCGAGTTATAATATGTTTTCTCGTCTATCAAAAGTCCCATAAAAATCTGTAGAGAGTGTCGACATGGACAATTTTAACTTTCTAAATTTTTTTACAGTCATCCAACTTTTTATTAGTTTAAGAAAACCCTCTCAAGCCTCAATTGTGGGGTGTTTAAGAAACCTTCACTCTTTCATTTTGAGTAACCCTCTTCAAGTTTGGGGATGTGGTATATAACGCACTTAGGCCCCGTTTGGTACGCGGGAATGGGGTGGAATGGAGTGCCATTCTCACTTCTCATTCCCTCATACCAAACAAAACTAGTTTTTAGATGTTAGAATGACCATTCCCATGGAATGGTCATTCCCACTTTTTGTGAGAATGGGCATTCCAAGTGAGAAGATAGGAAATGACCATTCCCATTCAAGGGAAGAATCAAATTAATTAGGTTTTTTTTCAATTATACCCCTATTAATAATAAGAATTAATTTAAAAATCATGGCTTTTGACTACGTATTCTCATTCTCTCTGTTTTTTTAGGCTCCACCGAAACAAAAAGGCCTCATTTCTATTCATCACCCTTGAAATCGACGTATTCTCATTCTTTATATTTTTTTGGACCTATGAAAGATGCAATAATCTTTTATTTATTTTTATTTAATTTTTTAAGACTAAGAAATAGTGAGAATTGTTTAAAAAATATAAACGAAACATACACCTGATCGATAACATGCGCATTAGTATAACACATACCTAGATTAATATAACATATGCATAAATAATTTTTTTAAGTTATTATCATTAATGTTTATTATTATCTTATTAAAAATCTATGTTGTTATAAGGGCATTATTAGAAAATAAGATTCCATTCTCACTTGTGAACTAGTGATACCAAACATGGGAATGAGAATTAGATTTTCATTCTAGCTTCATTCTACAAACGCACCCAAACAAGAGAATGGGAATGACCATTCCATTCTCACATACATTCCATTCCTTATTTCATTCCATTCTCACTTGACTTCATTCTCACGTACCAAACGAGGCGTTAGATTTGAAGATTCGACTTAATTCCCTTTATAGGGTGCCTCGCAAACATTTGGCCTTTACAATTCTCTCAACATTTTCTTTTGATGTTGTCATTTTAAAACTGCAAAATGACCAAAAAAAATACCTTTCAGCCAGGGGGGGAAATAATATTTCATTTAAAACAAATCAACAAATAAAGAAAAATACCTGGACCCATTTGTCGTGGTCACTCTTCCTACCAAAGCCTATTTTTCGTTACATATTGGGTTCTTTTTGTCAACGCAAACGAGTTTTGTGAATTTCGAAACCTAGATGAGGATGCTAATTAATGTAATGACAATGGAGGGGGCGGGTCTATAAAAAATGTTAGGATTATGACGGTTTTGTGAGACAACTTATAGCTGAGGAGCATTAAGTCAAAATTTTAAAATTGAGGGAGTTATCTACAACAGGCAAAATTGAGAATGGTTTACTCAAATTAAAATAATGGAGTGTGATTATATAGATGGGTTTTTTCTAGAACTAGATTTTATGCACGTGCAATGCACGTGGTTAAATACTGTGAATATGTATTTTTGATTTATTTTCTTACTAAAATTTGTTTCTCGGTTACTCTTTGATAATTTTTGCTCGCTTTGATTAAGTATTTTTTATTTATTTTCTTACTAAAAATTGTTTCTCAATTACACTTTGATTATTTATTTATTTGATGTTTGTTTGAATAGGCTATACCCAATTTAAATTTTTATATTGATAGTTGAATTATCAGGAGATAAATATAATCTATAGCCAATTTAAATTTTCATTACATTTGGATCGGTATGAAACTGAGCTTGACCTGAGGAAGATGAATAATAAAGCCAATGAGACAAGATGATTGACTTAAAGTGGGCTAAAATGATAAAAAAATAGTTAATGAAAAAAATCATAAACTGAAGATTAATACTAACTCTAGTACACATTTATATGATAAAAACATCCATATATGCATATGAAAGCACTAAAAATAGTTTATGAAATTCCTTCTAAAGATTCCTAATTTTACTAAAAAATAAAACTATTCTATGACAATTCACAAAACATTATCTTTTGTTGCTTCTCTATTTTATTTTTTATTGAGTCAAGATCAATCCTTCTTCATCTTTATTTTTTTCTTGGGCAATTTTAGAGTAGTGTATTTATCATCTATATCGATTGTGACTGAAGCATGTTATCTTTCCTTGGGCTCTTCATCTTTTGTCTTCTCGTCTAAATTCACAAAGAAGTTGAATATATTTCTTATGTCCAATACAAACTTCTGACAATACGGACTTTGATTTTCCCCCCTATTTTAATAAGAATAAATATTAAATTTATATATATATAATTTTTATGTTTTTAATTTATTACTTAAATAAGGTTAGGAGCTACCTCTTTTTTCTCTACAATGAATTCTTCTGTTGTGCATCCAATAAGAATTTTAGTTGTTTCGTAATGTTACCGTTGCTCTGTCTGTGTCAATTTCCATGAGGATCTGAACTAAATACATTATATTTTTTATTGTTAATTTTCTTTAGATTATAATATTAATATTTAATTTTGATATATTTATTTCATGAAGAAGGGATATCGCTTAACATTGGTACTGCATTATCGATGATTCTATAATATTTATCATCTGGACACTTATTATTAACATCTCTATCCACTTTTTTGTTGCAGCCTTTGCAAACATAGAACCACTACTCAACTCTATTATAAATAGTAGTTATTGTTGCCTTAAAGGTGCAATAGTGTGTCTGTATATTGGTAACTTATTCTTATTTAATTGTATGAATTTTAGAGTATGTTTTCTAAGATCACACCTCTTTCGAATGTTATAATGGTTGTATATATTAGTAATTTGAATTTCTGCTGTATTTATATAGAGCCTTAATAGAGATGCTTTTGTCTTGGCAGCTTACTCTAAAAGAGCGCTGCATATTAGCTTTAAAATATAATATTTTTTCTTTATGGTGTTATATGGATGTTTGCTTGGTTTACTTACTATTCTCTTATTTCTTCAGTAAGTTGTATCTTTGGATTGATATATATTATTAACGTAATTTACGATGATATGCATATCTCCTCTATAAATTTGAGACAAATATAAGATGAATTTTATATTTAGTGGTCTTTAATAAGAATTTTAGTAATGGAATATACTACCTTCATATTTAGATATATTGAATTCTAATAGTGCTATTACATCATTATATTTTATCACGTCTTTAAGAATTGATCCTTCGTTAGTAGTCATACCCCTAAATAAAGTGCATGACATAGTAATTTTTTTGCTTACGTAGAGTCATGACATAGTAAAGGTCACACGTATGGTCGTGACACTATATAAGAAAAAAAGGTCGATTTTATATTTTTTGCTTACGTAGAGTCATGGCATAGTAAATTTTTTATCTTCCATGAAGAATGTTTCTTTAATTAGAACAAAGTTGTTCAATATATTCTTCAGGGGGTATTCAGTCGGTGTTTCTTTGATAAATATAACTTATGTTAGTGTTAATTGAAGTGATTCATGAACGTTTCGAATTCTATTTGAAATAAAAACCGCTTGATTCTTTTGAAGGATATCTCTAAATTTTCTAATAGTTCTCCATACATAAATCTTTATAAAATTTTACCCTATAAATATTATTACCATTAGAGATCAATATTTATAAATTATAATCAATTAATGTTAAGCTATTAGATTATAGTCATTTATCAGTTTTTGGCGATTTAGTCTTTTATCAATCAATGATACTTATGTATTTTTGCTGCTCTAACATATTGGTAAAATTATATGAAGTTACTTTAATTTATACAATAACATTAAGTTTTAATCTATCATATATATTTTTAAATTTTTATTCTTTAACTGGAAATTTTTAATATGTTATTATTACTATTTTTTTTACCAATATTAACTTGACTATTTTCAGATTCTAAAAAGGGATAGTACACCTTAAATTATAAGTTATATTTATATATCTTAATGAAAGAACATCACACACTTACTCTTTTCTTTGCCAAGTTCTAAAGTTTTAGCTTTTTATTTTGTGTGATTTTAAACTTTTGAGGGACTTTGTCTAATTTTTAAAAAATTTTGCTTTTTTTGTAATACTTTATGCAATAAACTGATACTACAGAGTTGTTTCATATATTTTATTAATCTTATTTAAATTGTTGAGCTATAGATAGTTCATAGGGTATTAGGATAGATTATAATTTAAATTAAATATTTAAAATAGTACTGGGTAATTTTGACTATTGAAAACTTTTCCCTAACTCGCGCTTTTAAAGAGAGTATGATTTTATTTGCCTTAATTTTTTAATTTTGAGAATGACTTTTGTTTCTTTAATTTGTTTGGTGGATTTTGTAAATATCCCATCCACATTATGTACATTTGTAGGTCTACGTTGTTCCTAGGTTAGACCTTTAGGGTAGACTTTATTTGTCTCATTAATTTATTTGGTTTTTGTATATACGTCCTTCATTTTGCAGGCATCTACAAATTTAACATTTAATAATTTTATTTAGTTTTACATTTCAATTTAAATTTTATCATTATCTTCATACTATGCATATCTAATAAGAATTCATCAATTTATCAACTTACTCTTAATTAATGGAATAATATTTGAATTCCAATTGTACTTTTATCTACCAAAAGATTTTCCTGAACTCGTGTTTTTAAATGGAGTATGATTAACCCATTTACCATTTAATAGATTTATGTCATAATCCAACTTATGTGATATGTCCAGTAATTATACATATTTATATTTATGTAAAGCATTGAAATGAACATATCATGCATAATCTAAAGAAACCTCCTAAAAAATGGGAAAAAAATTAATTCTTAACATTACTAAGACTAGCATTCTAGTGCACGCGATGCGTGCATGATATGATGCACGCTTGTGCATAAAATATTGTTAGCGTATTAGTAATCAGCATGAAAAGTTAGGATAATTATGAAATAGTACTTGTTTGTTATTTTATTTATGGAAGTTCCTTAGGTATTAAATAGTAGAGTAGTTATGAATTAGATTATTTCTTCCCCCAAACTAATCCCTTCATTAAGCTTGTGTGTATGATTTTTGGGATATGGTTGAGATTTTTGTCTAAAGGGTGACTAATATAGTGGTGGAACATAAAAAATGAGCTTTTCTTAAACAATAGTAAGAATAGGAATAGATAATCATGCTTACCTAAAATTAAATTGAATTTCCTTTTGGAAATTTTAAAGCTAAATGGTACTTAAAAACCATAAAGTTTTCTTACTGTGACAATTGAATACCACAAGATGTAAAAAGTGACGGAATATAGAAAGACAAATTTTCTTTTTTTGAAGCTCATTTGATTTTGAGAAGAAAATCATGGCAGGAGCATGAATTGTAAGCCTTCATTATCGTTGTCGTTACTTTTTTCTTTTTCTTTTTTGCGGAAATGTTAAACAAATTAAGTGTATTTGAGATTAACTGGTATCAGATTGGTGGTGGGGGTGGGGTGGGGGGGGGTTAACGGTTGAGAATTTTAACTAAGGGAGGGGTGTTTTGGTCAGAACAGCCAAAAAGTCAAGATGTTTAACTATTTTTCAACTGCAGACAACTCAGAATATCTTTCCTGACACTTTTTACAACTTATAATATTTAAGTTCCACTATGGGAAAACATTATGGCATTTAAGTGTCATTTAGCCAAATTTTAAAGCAGGGACAAAAGACATACCTAAAAGGATAAATTTTCAAAACCAACGCTTTTGGAAACTTTATTTAGGAATCGGCCTATTTGAGATTTATTTAGCAGCTTCGTCCTAGGTTCAACCAGCTGGCTGAAACTGGGTCGAAAATGCTAGTTACGAAAATTTCACGAGATTTAGAATCTATTGAAGTTTAATGCTCAATTAATCAGCGATAAGCAAAAAAGCTTGGCGCATGTGCTTAATTCATGGGATTCTAAATCTCATGAAGTTTTCATAACTTATTTGGCTTTCAGTCAGCAAGCTAAAACTGGGTCGAAAATACTATATGAATCTCAAATGGAATGATTGTTAAAAGTAAATCTAAAAAGAGATTGGTTTTAAAAATTTGTCCAACCTAAAAAAAACACGAAGAAAGACACGCGCACACACTACAAAAAAAAACTCCCCCTTCCAATGACAGATTTTCAAATTCGACCCATTTAGAAACTTAATTGTAAAAAACGATCAATTTCCTATTTAATTGTCAAAATCGACTCAGTTTCAGATAATTGGCTGAAACTGAGTCGATTTTGGTGAAATAATTTACAAAACTTCACGGGACTTCAAATCTCATGGAGTTTAAGCGCATTGTTATTTACGAAAGTAAGGTGATTAAGAGGAGGAAAACATCACGAAACTTGAAGTCCTGTGATGTTTTGTAATGTATAAAATTTCACGGGACTTCAAATCCCTTGAAGTTTACTGGCACAAAACTTCATGAGATTTCAACTCCCGTGAAGTTTTGGGCGTTCCTAATCAAGCCCATTATCAGAGCTTAAACTTTATAGGACTTGAAGTCCCGTGAAGTTTCGTAATGTTTTTCCCCATAATCGACCCGGTTTCAGCCAACTGGGTGAAACTGTGTCAATTTTGACAATTAAATTGGAAACACGTCATTTTTGACAATTAAGTTTCTAAATCGGTCGAATTTGAAAATTTGTCCCCATTCTAAACTTCCTTCCCTACGCTCTTCTCGCTTCCCTCGTCAAAAAAGAAATGACGAAATGGACCGGCCTCCCTCATCCTCCAATCACCGTCATCAGCCGCTCTTCTCACTCCGTTTCTTTCCCTTATTTTTCCACCTGCCCCTCTAAAACACTCTCCTCTCTTCACAAAAAAAAAAACCCTAGTTTTCTCCTATTCCCGCGACTCTCTCCGCCACGGCCGCCGACTTCAAGCCCGAGCAAGCTAGGGTTCTTCACTTCGCTAGTCCCTAACATTTGGACTCTTTCTTATTTTCGTTACTTTGAACTTCTTTTTTATTTTTTTCGGTTGCAGTTTAAGATCGCGCTGTGCCAGTTGATGGTGACTGAAGAGATAGAAAGAAACATAACTCACGCTCGAGAGGTGATCGAGGAGGCTGCCAGAAAAGGGGCCGAGCTCGTGGTGTTGTCTGTAAGTGATCGGAAAAGCTCATTGCTTTTGGTCTGTGAATTTTGGAGAGCTTATAGTAATTTCCCTAATTGCAGCTGATTGCCTGAGGTAAAAATTTGGAAGCGTTTAGTGATTTGCCTAAAAAACTTTCTCAGTAGTCAGTCCATACATATACATAAGTAAGTAGGTTCTATTCTGAAGCGGTTCGATTTGGAAAATCCATTTATGAAGTAAAGGAATATAATGGTATGATATATGGGCATTATGTAAATGTTGTGAGAAGGAGGACCGGGAATAGGTTTTGCAGAATGTATGTTGTACAGAACTTGAAGTTCAAAGCGATGTATGGTTGAAAGCTAAATTCTTCTTATATTAACTCAACATATAGGCAGACATATTGTATGAATATAGTCATGAGGTTCTCTCATTTCATGTTTCCTTGAGTGCTTAATGAAATATATGAATGCTTGGAGGAAAGGAATGCATAGGTCCACATCGGCACCTATACAGTTGAATCCTTCAAGTCTGTTATGGAATCCATTTTCATACCCTGATTTATTGGCTATAAGGCATTTACTTAGGCCTCCAAGTTCACATTTACCACAAGGAAAGACCCTACATAATTATCTTGTAGTTTCGAATTAGTCTGATATGTGTAGTATAATGATCATTACACTATTCTTATTTGGGTAGTATGTGACATCTAAAACTATTCATTAAGTAGTAGGATTACAATAATTTTTGATCGTCTAGCCTATCACCAATTGAAAGATCAGTTGATATGTAACATCTCAAGATGGTGTTTTTCCCTTAAATTTTATCCAATAGAGTTTGTCATAGTGAATACACCAGTATCTGATATTTTATCACTCTTCTTAATATCAAAGTTTTCATATTTATTTATGTTCATTTTTTGTTTCTAGGATGTTATAAATCCTATTGTGATGGCAATCATTTTTCATTAAAATTGCAATTTTATCATTCATGTTAGGAAATATGGAATAGTCCATATTCAAATGATACCTTTCCCATACATGCGGAGGACATTAAGGCTCGTGGTGATGCAGCTCCATCATGTTCTATTCTTTCAGAAGCTGCTAGCACTCTGACCATTTACTGTAGGCGTCAAAAAATACTGAAAGATATCCAAATGTAGCTCAAAAGGAGATCATCCAAAGAACAAAAGAACACAAAAGACAGTATAGACTGTCTCGTCGTGTGAGACAGTGTTTACTGTCTCGCAGGCGAGACAGTGTTTACTGTCTCGCCCGCGAGACAGCTTTTTAAAAGGTCAGAAACCATTTTGTACCCGCCGACACGTGGCCACCAACTGTTCAATAACGTGGGAAACGTCGTGGGCGAGAATCACGTTGATAACTGCCAAAATAACGGAGTTGTAAAACGTGGGAAGGCAGTTACAAGAAAACTGCTGGGCGGTTGAGGATTTCCGAGACAGCATTTACTGTTTCGGAACCCGAGACAGTGTTTACTGTCTCGGAACCCGAGACAGTCTTTGCTGTCTCGACCGCCGAGACAGCAAACACTATCTCGGAAGTGGTTATTCGTCCAGGGGTTATAAATACCCCCTGTGATCATTTGTTTAGGGGGCTGATGATTCTTAAGCACTTTGGAGCAGACAGAGCAGAGTTCCTGAGCCTCTGACAATTCCTTGAGATTCGAGCTTTGACTTGATTTCAAGAAGAACGACTATCTTACTTTGATAAGATATCGTTTCAAATTCTCACTTCGATAAACAAAGGAAGAATCACTAGACCCCTCACGATTCAATCAGAATCTGTGATTTGGTGGTCCACGGGCCAAAGCGTTCCCGGCACAGGCAAAGATCCCACGCAAGCAGCTATCCAAACAACGATCCTGCGTTTGTTTCTAAAAAGTTGTAATTTTCATTTTGTTGTGTAAAATAAGTCTTATAAAAAGACTATCTCTTTTGAATTTGTTGTAATCGACCGAAGATATAATGAATTCCACGGGGAATTTTATCCTGAATCCTAAGTAAGGATAAGTCAGCGCCTAACACGCGTTGCCGGGTAGTCTATGCCCGTGAGAAAGACGAAGTCTAAAAGGGTTAACTCTTTTAGCTTAAACGTCACATAGGAGCGGACTTAAACAATCCGCATGCTAGCCCGTTTGAATTTGTTGTAATCGACCGAAGATATAATGAATTCCACAACGAGAGCAACTTTCGACGAAAACATTTACTATTATTGGTGGCTCAATACCAGAGCGGTCTGTAGAACATTTATACAATAGTTGTATTTTTGGCAAGGATGGAACTCTCAAAGGCAAACACAGAAAGGTACAAGTTAAAAGTAAATTTGATGTTGGTCACACGCTAATTTAATTCTCTAAGCTGCTAGATCATGTGTGCATTGCAAATCTGTAGAAATCAATTATTGTTATTATTATTATTATCATTTACAAAGGAGTGGAGTTTTAGACCTTAAATGATCTCTAATATAAATTATTTGTTTGATGATTTTTTATCTTTTATTTTTTTGCTGGTGTAAAGTCTACAGATTTAGTTTGGATATCCAATAAAATTATTTTCTTATGGCAGATGGCGGGTGTTATGGCCTGCATAGTCCTTTGTGCATTGAAGCTCCTTTTTTTGCCAATCATAGAGAAAGGAAAATATTCAATATTTTAAGTGAGTATAGCTGTTAATGGTAGTGGTAAAAGCAAACCTACTTATAGTTTGCTGTTTAATCTTTTTGCAAGATTTATATATTGCTCTTCAATTCTGTAGCTCGTGGACTGATGAATGACTTGTATGTTGATGATTTGGGACAAAAAGGATGGTACGGTGTGGAAGATGTCAATGTGATCAAGTCAGGACCTAGGAGTTAGCAGCTACAATTGTATTGGTTTAACCCATGTTTATTTGCCCGTTCTACACTGACTCGACACATGTTGTTGCAATTTCAAAACTATTGCAACCCTGTATTTCATTTACTAAAATTTTATGCATGTAATCATAATTTGGGGATAGATAATTCCTTGGCTACCATCACAAGCAGACCAGCTTTCTTGATGACGAAGACTGATGAGAATCCATATCCGAGTCCACCTCATGTTGCAATTAATTATTAAATAATACCAACACGACAATAACAATATCAACCACGATGGTTATTGCTGCTTCTTTTTTTAGTAATGTGTATGATATATATTGGCAATGCGGGTAATTGTAATTCATTCATTTATTCACATGTTGCATTTGCTTTATTAATGCACACCTAATCACTACTTATAATAAACTTCTACTTTCAATTTTCATTAGTATGAATTTATATTACTTCTCTTTGTTCTATTATAAATGTATGGCATTGTGATTGTTGATTGTTGAGTCTAAAGTACCTGGTTAAACAATGTATTAATCAAATGCTTGAGTACACTCTGATCTTATGTTTTTGAACCTTTGCACCTTTGCTCATCATGATTCATCATAATGGAGTTACTCATGCTCAGAGGGCCACAAGTTCTTGTGGTTTTATGGGCATATAAGAGGCTACAAGCTATACTACGTCCCTGAACTATGTTTCACATATAGATATCATGTGTGAATTCTATATTTGATCATTTTTAGAGAGTAGCTCTCTGGAAACTTAGAAGCCTAGGTGATTATAGTAATATTTTGACACACTCTTTTTCCTGTTCCCTACTACTGTTAAGAGTCCTCTTACATCTTGGATTATATTGCCCTGATAATCAGAATCAACAAAGAAAAGGAGAGATGCCAAATCTTATAACAAGTTTATGAATATGCATACCTGTTCATGCCAAGTGTAACAATATTTGACACCATTTCTTTTTAATGTCTCTGAATAAAGTATGCATTATGAATTTGATGAATATAATAACTAATTTAATGCATGCCATGAAATGCAGCTTCATCTTTTTGACATTGATATCCCGGGCAAGATTACGTTCAATGAATCAAAGACTCTTACACATGGGCAGCATCCTATCATTGTTGATACAGGTTTACGTTTATCAGTACCACCTTTCTTGATGTACATGCAACTATTTGACTTTTCAATATCTCAGTATACTCGCTTATGCACGTTATTGACAATATGTTTTTGTAATATTCTATGGAGTTAAGCTTTAAGCTTATGTGCATTTCGTCTGATATGACATTTATTAGAGGTGTACACATTATTAGAAATTTGATTATATTTGATGATACTTTAGCCTATGATTGATATTTGTAGTGTGAGTATATGTGAAAGAAATTCTAATAATTCAATTGTGCAATTAATATGACAATGATTTAACCAGTTAGCATTTTTATTCTTAAAAGTAAACGTGTCTACATTGCTCCATTAGTCATCTTATGGTAACTGGTGCTTTTTCAGTTGTAAATAATAACATACTCTTTTAAGATCAATACTTCAGTAACTGTTTTGAAGAGCTGTACTTGAAACATTCTTTACCTTATAAGTAGTCTATGAAGCGTCAGATCATGTTTGACTTGTAATCTTATTGGTGGTGTACTCATCTAATATGGTAAATATGTTTCTTATGTTCCTCTCTCTTAAATATTTTCTCTTAACGAGTACCTGACTTGATACTTGTTATTTTTCATCAAATTTATAGCGACAAAAAAAAAAAACTAAAGTAGTCATGACTCATGTAAAGGAGAAAGCTTTTCATAAGGTTTTTCTAGAGAGAGTGATGTAATTGTCGAGGTGCCAGCAGAGTTTTTCAAATAGGGAGTTTATGGATAACCTATTCTTGGTTTCATACTCCATCTTGTTTGTCTGTCTTTATTTAATTTCAACTTTCCCAAGCTAACTCGACATCCTAATTACACTAGGAGCTATTTGACTCTAAATGTGTGTGTGTGTGTGTGTGTATGTGAGAGAGAGAGGGAGAGAGGGGGGGGGGGGGAGAGAGATGCTGGATGGTCTGGGTGCTGATTAATTTGTTTCTGATCTATATCCGTGCATTTCTCTTTTATCAACCATATCTCTGTATGATGAATATCTAGATTCAATTCCAGCTAAGGTGGATAGTTTTCACTCAAATTTTTTGCTTAATCTCATTATCAGCCAATCTCTGGTATGCTTTCCCTTTCAATCTTGTTATGAGATAAAGGAGATGGAATTTGCATTTTGATCCTTTGTTTGTCATACATTACAAGCATGTTGAGAAAACAGATTTCTATTAACAATTTTCGCCTATGAGACTGTCAATTTATTGAAATTTGAGATCATAGATTATGCCTACACGTGTATGCCAAACACTCATAGTTCATTACTTTTTACAGCGGAAAGGGCCATGTAACATCTGCCTTTACTTTTATGTCAGGAAATGCCACTGCTTGCCTTTACTTCTCTGTGAGGATATGCCACTGAAAGACACATGCCTTTACTTCTATGTGAGGAAATGCCACTGAAAGACACCTCTTATATAATGCCCTTGGTTTTTTTCTTTTTCCTTTTTTTTTTTGGGTGTGGGTGGTGTTAAGAGTTATGAGAATCCAGAATGAGGTTATTAAAGAAAAAGGCAAAGGTGTTTGTGAGGGCTATGAGTTCAGATGGAGTTTCCCCGAGGTTATTAGGTAATATGGATAATATATTACAGTGGCACAGGCAGGATTCAAACTGTATGGTTGGGGTGGGAATATATACTGCCGACATATTCACGACACATGGGTTTAAAATAAATTAAATAAATAAAGCAAAAAATGCAATAAATAAAGCAAAAAAATACAATAACCATGAAAAGGAAACATAAACTAATGATTAAATAATAATATATGTTAGCCATAATAAAAAAAATAAGAGAATGAGGTTAGAGAATACATCACTATTGGGGAAATTGGGAGTGAGCTTGGTTGAATTTGAATAGATTTTAAATTTACATTAAATGGGGGAAAAAAGCCCCAAAAAAGAATCCCAGCCGATAGGTCTGCGATTTCTAAGAGGTGAATGATCCTATTGCATCGGGTCGGGTTGCCAAACCCATGAGAGTTTGATCCAAATTTGTTTACTCAAAATTAAGGTTTGGGCTTTGTTTTGTGGTACTGAGCTTTCCAGCTCCTTGTGGGAGGGCGGGGGGGGGCATGGCCCTTCCCCACCGCTTGCTATCCTCAGCCCTAGGTTTATGTCTTGAGAGTCTAGTCCAGTGAGGAAAATTGTATTGACTACATCTACTCCCTTCAGAAAGTTAAATCACTTGTCTTCTTGCATCAACTTCTGCATTTGTGTTGATTTAGGCTGAAGCTAGTTTTCAGAGATGGGCAAGGAACTAAAGTCAGTCAACCTTTCAGTTACAATACTTCATGCAATCTACTAATCTAGACATGGGAAATTGTTCACATAATTTGTAAGCTCTTAATGATTTCTATATTGTTAAAGTGCACGGATTAACTCCTTTGAGCTCCATGGATATTTGGAAAGATTTGTTTAGAAGAAGTCAAGAAGTTGTTGAGCCAGTGAGCCACACTTCGTACTTAATGCTATCACACAGATTGGTTTTACATTTTTGTACCATCGACATTCCATTGTTATAAATCATCTTCCTCTTTAAATTTTACCCCTCCCCTTTACACATTTCTAAGTTCATATTTCTGCATTAGGTTTCCTGAACTGTTTTTTCCCTTTTAAGTATGTCTGAGTAATCTGTATTGGGTTATTAGCTTTTTGATCCTAATTCATTGATCTATTCTACAGACTGACTCTTGAAAGTGGGTGCAGATGTTGGACGTATTGGCATAGGTATTTGTCATGACATTTCCTTCCCGGAACTGGCTATGTTGTATGGTGCAAAAGGTCTCTTTCCCGTATCACTTGCAGATAATTTTATCTTGCTTGCCTTTTGTTTTTTAAAGTGCTACCTGAGCTACTGAACCCATCTAAAGCATGACAGATCACTGTATTTGACAGTATATTCTGTCTGCTTTAGTAGAGTTTATTAGTAATTGAGATGATATGATAATAGAGGTATACCCTTGCATGAGACTGCAATGATGTTTATGTTGGCATGGGGGGTGATGTTATATGTAGACATGATTCATGTATCAGAGGCTTTCTCCAACCTGCGACCACCATTATAGTTAAATCTTCACTATGTACTTTTACATTTCCATTGAGATATTGACGCGAATTAAGTGATTGACTTTTTAGTGTACTGTAACTGGGGACTTTTACTAATAATCGCTAACTTATCTGCTTGCGAGTTAAAGAATACTAGTTTTTTCCACGTGAAAGAAATTATTATTGTATAAGAAGAAAAATGAATCTGCGCTAGTTGGTCCTTGTGATATCGGACTTTGGAAAGGAGGGCCATGTATAATTATGTTGCTCGGACAGTAGATACAGATGATGCTCTAGAAAAGTTAAATGAGATGCATATTAACCAGTCCTTTTTTCGTTGCTGGATGGTAGGATTTATTAGAAGTAAAGAGCCATATGTAAAAGAGGGCTTTTTTCTTTTTGTAATTTGTACATGTTTGAGTGATATGAAGATGAAATCATAGATCAGTTTGCATACTGCCAGGAGTTTGCATTTATAATAGCAGTGGATTCAATTGTTTGCTGGAGGTCTAAAGAATAGTTCCCAACTCAACCATTAGACTTGACTTTATATCATTCTCCTTTGTTTCATCTTTTAGTCACTATATTCTATGTTAGTTTACGATAACTCATGTTTACTAAGGTTTTGTTTTCTTGAATATAAGTATTGATCTGAATCTTAATAATGTTGATATCAGGTGCTCATTTAATCTGCTGCCCTGGCCCCTGGTACATTTGGCATGACAACTGGTCCTTTGCATTAGGAGTTATTTCAAAGAGCAAGGTACTGTTGAATTTAGAACTATCAATTTTTCTTAGTGTACTACTTATGGATAATATAACAATCGTCCCATATGTTCGGAACCTTCTTTATGGTTATATTATATCATATTTTGACAGGGTTTGTGAAAGCTTTTTACTTAAAATATACCGCAGCAGGCCAAATCATTTTAAATATATGTTTCAATCTAATGCCTATCAGTTTATGAAAGTCAGTGACTTCAAAATTATGAATTCTATTTAGTTGATTGCCTTCAAGAGTTTCTGTTGCTGCTTTTCTGCGTAGTTGATTGCCTTTAAGAGTTTCTTTTGCTGCTTTTCTGGGTATAATGATTGCATATATCAGTAACAAGATTCTGCATAATATGTTGGCTAGTAAAAAAAAATTGTGCACAAAATGACTGCCTACGGTAAGTGAAATATTGTTGAGATGTGATATGAAGGCAGGATCACATATAGGATTCATCTAGTTACTTGGATGAAGTGTGTTATGAGAAGTTACGAATTGGATAAGCATTAATTACTAAATGAACTTTTCTCGTGCAAATCTCAGTTTCCAGACTCCATAGTCCTTGTTCCGCTTGTCATTCATACAGGTTGTTTCTGCTATGCATGTGTGCATATCATTGACATATACATGGATGTATAGGCGTATGCATGTATGCTGAATCAGGTTAGCATGCCTACTTTATAACCCTCTGTCTGTGATCCCTTTTGAAAATGGATTTCCTTTTAGTATCCATATGTGACATGCTAATATATTGATGAAATGTTAGGATCCATACTCAATGTCGATGTTAGTTGGTTTGGTTATCGGATAATTAGACCCTACTTTCCACTGTTCTTTGTTGGTGAGATTGAGGAGATGGGAGAAATATTAGAATTGGTTCACGCTTTGAGGAAGATCATTGTTTTGATGGAGAAGCGTGAGCGCCTTGCTGGTGATGTGAAGCCCCCAAGATTCAGTTCCACGTCGGATATTGATTAAGTGATTGAATGGTTTATAATGTAAGTCCAATGAGTTAAGCGCAACATTGACTAGTCACTCAGTGGGTTCTACGGCTTACATCACGCCAATGGGTTCGCGGGTGCAAAGCGTGATAGGTGAAAAAAGAGTTGATAGTGGATGTGAGGAGTGCACTGGTGGTGTAGTGGAGAGAAGAGGTGAGGAGGGATTGTGAGTTTTGTTTATCTTATTTATCTTGTCTGTCTTTCTTTTGTTAGTGGTAGAAATCGGATGGGAAAGTTTCATAATTTCATTCATTCCTTTAAGTTGATAAAAGCACTGATCTTTCTGCTTTCTTCTGTCTCATCCTTAATAGTCTCTCTGATGCACGAGAACAAAGAATGAGCTCTCAGGTTCCACAAGCAAGTTTGTAACTGTCAGTCTCCATTTGTGCCCTATTTTGTTTTATTGCAAACATTCTGACTACTTTCAGCGAGGTTTGAATATTTTCGAAGCAGAAAAAGCAGTAAATGTCTTAGCTATCTAAATTTTGAAGAAAAATGTCCAGCTATTCTTACTAAATTTTCCATTTCCTTATGGTAGGGCTGGTGATAACGAGGTAGATGGTACTTTGATCTATATCTCTGGGAGTGCACTTTGCAGAACTCTTTGATTTACTATAAACCACCTTGTCAAATTAGATTTACCTCATCGTATTTGGGAATATCTGCATTTGGCTTTGTCTATTTTTCTTTTACCTTCTTTGAAAAAATTTGAAAATTATTCTAGTCTACAATCATTCAGTTGACATTTATTTTCTTTTATCTTTCAGTTATTTGTGGCAACTTGTTCCCCTGCTCAGGATACAAGTGCTAGTTACATTACTTGGGGTCATTCGACACTTGTCGCACCTGTACATATAATGAAAGTAGTGTATTTTTTTTATGAACTCTTGTCTATGAAAATTGGAAGTAGTTTGTCTGTCTGGTACGTGAGCAGTTTGAACTTGGATACCTGACAAATGTTTTTCTTATTCCCTCACCTGTGCTTGTTAGTTTGGCGAAGTGATAGTAACCACCGAGCATGAGGAGGCAATCGTTATTGGAGAGATTGACTATTCTTTAATTGAGCTTCAGAGGTAAGATTTTCATTATAAACAAAATCAACTAATTCACATTTATAACCACTGTCTAGGCACAAGAATGTTAATCCTTTCGGTGCTTGGCCACATAAGCTCAAACCAGATAGAATTGCTACTTTCTCTAGCCCTAATTGGATTTCTAACTTCGATTACGAGCGTTCTGTTTTCTGTTGTTGAAACATTGTTTAAAGTATAAACTTCTTAACACTGGTTTGCATACCTTTGAGCATGTTGCCGACAGTTGTTGAGTGGTATGAGGAGAGGGTTGATGTTTGTTGCGTTCTTAGAAAGAAGGGAGTCCTTGTCATAAAGCCTTTTGAATGTATTTTACCGCAAGTCTGTCTAACCTATGGTGATGGTGTTGGAATATTTATTTTTCGCCTGTTAATATAGGGTAAGATAGTAGATTGATACACAGTCATGAAAATTTGGTCGTTCTTGTGTACTGTGTAGTACTTCTTAAGTTATAGCTGATATTGTTGGAAGCAGGTTAGAGACAATGCTGGTTGTAGAATTGTGGTAAAATAATATATCACAACAGATGTCCCAACTCTAATTAGCTGCTACTTAATCAAAATTGACAGGCAGATGGGCCAATATTTTGTGTAAGCATTGATTTGCTTACAAATATCTCATGCATATTCTACAACAATAAAGCCTTTCTTCCAAAATTTTGGTGTTGACATGTATCGTATATATTCATATTCTTTCATCCAGTTATGTCTAGTGTTATCTCCTTTGTTACGTTAGCCACTGTCGTATCCTTCTTAACTACTCCCAACTAGGTTCTCCTAGGCTTGTATCCAGTCCCCCTTGATCCAATAAAAGTTTTGAAAAATTCTTAGGCATATTTATCATCCCATGTAAGTCTCATTTCCTCGACCCAATCCAATCCTTCTAGCATAATTCAACTAGTTTCATTTCTACTGGGCATGGTTTGCGTATCTCTCTCTGTTACACTAATAACTTAAAAATCTGTAATTACTGATGGATTTCCCTCTTATGCAGCAGATCCAACCTGCCCCTTGAGAAGCGGCGGCGTGGGGATTTGTATCAGCCGGTTGACGTCCAGAGAATGGGCTCTCAGTGAAAGTGCTTCACCGTCAAATATTTTCAAGTAACTTTTGTCAAAATATCTGTTAATGGTTTAGTAATTATGAAGGTCAGAACATGTAATGGGACTTCTAAGAAGCAAGTGGGCCCGCATGTTGTAGTTAGCTCTCTTAAATACTTTTTGGTCCTTGATTGAAGAAGCTTAATGGTTTGTCTGAACTGAAAGGTATGTAGCATATAAAAGGGGGAAGTATCTCCATTATTATCATTGTGATGCCATTTCACGATAATTTTTTTTCACATGCAATGGTGGTGTGCACGATGACTCTGTTGCGTTCCAAATATTTTGAATTCTATGCTATAAAAAAAAAATTGCTTAATGACAAGTTTTACTCTCTTTTTAGTGCATGCATGAGTCGAATGCCCAGATATTTTGTGATCTGCTGGTAAAGAGAATGTTCATGGTTCAGGCGGCCTATTAACGCTGAGAACTGCGTGGATCAGCTTTAAACTGAGAGAGGAGATTAAATAATTAAGGAACCATTTATTAGTTGTTTCTTAGCTGCCAACGCGATGGAGAGAGAGAGAGAGAGAGGAGATTTTTGATGTTTCTCTTGGATAATTACCTCAACAATTGGTCCATTCAACATCATTTGTGAAGGTGCGAGTCTTCATCGATCTTTTACTTTGTTCCCTTTAATTAAGTATAAACTATTCAACAGCTTTATCATGGTCTGGTTATCCATCTAGCTCTTGATATTGGTCAAATATTTGGACTGCCTCATGATTATTTCCAATATTTGATTAAGCGTTAACTATATCCACTATTCCTATCATGATCACTCAAAAAAGAACTCCTAAATGATAGGATGGGTACCCTTATAAATTTATTAGAGTAATCATTTGTGAGATTAGAGAGGGGGAAGAGTATTCAACCGCTAATGGGTAGGTTGAAGTAGTCTTAGTCCATGCATTAATATTTTTTTTTCAATGGTTAGATGTGCACAAGACATATACCCTAATTAATGTCTATCTAATCATTGGATGTAGATCTTCCACTCCGCCAAACACAAGCCAAAATATTACGCGTAGAGCTCAAATAATATACTTCCATGAGGGAACCTTTTCATGTGGAGGCCTATATTCTTTTTGCCCCTAGCTATATCAACAATAATAAAAAAACCCTAGTACTGCTAGATAGGATATATTTTTTATTATTATTGGAATTAGATACATGAACATATATTGGTACATTATGTATCAAGATTTTCTTAGTATGAGTTGTGATACAAGGTTTAGTTTAACCGAAACATGTGGACATAAGCAGCAGCAAAATTTTATCTCGTGCTTTGTGATTTTTGTTATAAATATGCGTCCAGAGGAACCTCATTAGAGATTAATTTAACTTCACAAAAAGAAATGCTAATTATTAGGGGAGTTTGTTAATATAATTAAACAATCACTAGCGCGCGACGTATCACTTTTGTGCCAAAATTTTCGGCGACGATTCTAAAGCTTTTGCCTTCATGATTTAGTTTCTAGGGGACCATCGTCCTGGTGAACTCCAAATGATTATACATGATTTCAACAAGAGAAATTTCTTTTGAACATGTTGATGGTCCGTCTTAAATTTTGTTTCTTTCTTCTGTTTTCCTTTTATCAGAAGTGTTATCAATATTTGGATTCTTTTATAGTTTTCAATAGTTTTTTTGGAGTACATAGTTTCTTATAGTTGAAATTTTCTTTCATGAAAGAATGCCCATCTGTTTCAAAATTTTGTTGCACTTCGAAAAAGGGTGTCCTGAAAATGAACAAACTGATAAAGAGATCCACTAGCCATTTTTCTTTGATAAACAAACATATTATTTGGCTAATGCATATCCTAGAGATAAAGTATACGCAACGAGTATAGATTCTATCATAACATTTACATAACATAAAGGTGATTCATACCATTCATGGGATTAATTTTGGAAAACGCTTTTTGGCTCACGCTTTAACGCGCGAGCCAACTCGCGCAGAGACAAAGGGGTGAGACCCACTGTGCCAGAGGGGCCCACCCCCTGTTTCTGTGCGAGTTGGCTCGCGCGTTAAAGCGCGAGCCAAATAGCAGTGTTGATTAATTTTAGACTTTTATCTCTTCTATCCAACGTGCAAATCATTTTATTCCTATAGAGATGATTCTGATGAGATTCTTATTGTGACTAGACAAAAAAACAAATAAAAAAGTAAAAAAAAAATGTCCTCCTGGTGGACAGAGACACTATTGTCAGGACTTTGCTTTACTTTGCCCGTCATCAAAATTATGGGTTTTTATTGATCCTGTTCAATTTCCAATCTCTCTTTTTCTTTTTTCTTTTTTCCTTCTCCTTTTGTTGCTTTAGATCTTTAAACTCTCTCAAGAACTTCGTGAAGAGAGAGAGAGACATGAACAAAAGCAGTCATGTCCTTCTCTCACTTTGGCACTTTCTCGGGATCGCTGATTCTCTTTTTGTGTCTCCATTGTTCCTTTCTTTTGTCTTATCTTTACTCTCTTTTCTCTTGTTTGGAATGTATAAATGTGTTTATATCGGATTTTGAGATATAACTAAGCCACATTTGTAAAACATAATAGGCAGGGGAACTAATGGAGACGCTACCTAAATTAATTGGGAATAGATTTTGCCTCGTTTCCAACTAATGTCTGTTGATGTCACAAAGTTGAGCTGTCATTAAGGAGAGTTAACTCGATTTCTGGGTCCTTAATCGTCTTGGATGATTAATCTTCGGTTGAGGATCTTGATCTGTACTTCACTATACAAGTAACAGATGGTAGAAGCACCAGAGGTTGTTTCCTCCAGCATGTCATCCGACGTTCAAGTCGGTGACTACATCCAGTTAATATAAAGAGAAAAACAGAGTATTGTCTTGTTGACTTTTTTTATTTAAAAATGCATACCTTGATTTGGTAGAAATCACCATTATTTATAGAGGGTTTATTGGGGAATGCTGCTAATTTTGGCCGAATGTGTGCAGTTCCAATTCAAACTCTACTTTACACGTGTCTGCAATTGATTGGCCGAGTCGCCTTTATATAGTGATGGGACTGTTGGGGTAATGACGAGTCCGAGGGGCTTTGGAGGCTCTGGCTCGAAAGATCATCATGACTCTAATGCCGCATTAATTATTGATGGCGACTGGGCGGCGAAGTGTGGGCACTGACTGTACATTTACTAAATGCAGCGTAACTTTTGATGATGCTTGTCAGGCCGTTCCACTAATCGAGACACGTTGCATTGGGTCCGAGTGGAGAATGCCCTTTGTCTTGAAGTTGGACATCCAGTAGAATCCTGGTCAGAAGCGCTTTTCATCTCGGATTAGGATCGCGAGATGGGTCGGCCGACTTATCACCCATGTTATGCTTGCAGATGCTTTAGTAGTCGGCCAATTACTTACTATGCGGCCACTCTTATTAGGCTCGGTAATTTTCAGGGTACGACAATATCGAAGTATAATTAATCTACAATCTATAATGTAAGTGTTCTGTATATATTAGTCATGTACGTGGAACAAAGTTTAAATCGGTATATTTTGCAAATCTACAATGAGTTGTTGTGTAAATATTAGTCATGTTGTGCCTCGAAAATACTAACGAGTAACGGAGAAACATGCATTGCAAAGGGTATTTCAGCTTGGTGAAGCAGAAGAGAGCATCGTTTTTATCATCCCAAATAAGAATGCGTCGCATCATTCCTGATGATCAAACTAATTCGATTCTGAATTTGCTCTTTTTTTTCCCCATATGTTATCCCCGTGTTCGCGTCCAAAATCTTTGAAAAACACGAGCATTTATTTCGCGGAGGAGTCTGAGCTCGCTTTCAACAGGCCGGGTTCTTTACATTCTTGAGGAAATGGACTACGCCACCAAAAAAAAAAGAAAAAAAGTTCAGTAGCTTTCAGCACAACTTGCGCATTGACGCACACACACTCAAATACTCGCACAAATGCAATGTTGCCAATTCGCTATCATAGCCACTCATATAATCCACCACCAACGAGTTCAATGATTCGTCCAGAGCACATCTTCATCAAAGTCTCCCCCCAATAACACCATCACCATCAATTATTGAACTCAAAATTTTCAATACGCACCCGCTGAAGGTCATCGATTTCTCATTTCCCCTAACACTGTTCGCCCGAATTTTCCACACCAGACAAAACTTCGGTTAAAAAGAAAGTCCAAATAGCATGTGATCTCGGATTATCTCACCAAATTCAAGATTCTCAAAATAAATCGCAAGTGTCTAAGTCATTCTTAGTTAAAAATTACTTAAATCACCAAAAGCCAATCATAATACACCCAAAAACCCTACTTAAGCCCCTATTAACTAATAGAATAATCACTTTGAATCATTCTTTTCTTCCGACAGGAGCAGACAAAAGCGTGTGCTTTCTCTCATAATTACCCTTTTAGCCCCTTAATTACAGCCCAAACAGATTTTATTCTCCATTAAAGTTAACCGAACAAAATACGCTCCCCCAACCTTAACTTTTCAAATTTTTACAAAACCAACCTCCCGAGATGCGTCGTTTCGTAAACCGGCAGGCGATCTTCTCGGATACCTCACGACGCCGGATAATATTACTCTTTCCAGCTGAACAATGCGAGGCTCGAATCCGCTCGCCACGTTCGTCCTCGTCCTCAAAATCACGCGCACCGCCCATCCTCTTCGACTCCCCGCCGCCCGTTCCCGCCGTCAACCGCACGCGAACCTTACAGACCTCTTATCGGCGTGATCGCGACGTCGACGGCGTCTTCACGAGACAAGATCGCGAGTACGACGACGCCGTCGAGGCAAGCCGATTCCTCGCCGGCGGGCGGCGATCTTCTGCTTCCGAGCCGCTTCCCGCAGTCGAGGAGGTGAAGATAGAGTTGAGGAAGCTCGCCAGCCTCGCCGCCGGCGAGGTCGGCGATCTGCGATTTCTTCAGATCGCGGAATTTGCTACGGATTGAGTGAGATTCTTCTTCTTCTTCTCCGGCTGCAGCGGGATGGAGATCGGCGGCGGGGTGGGGGCACGGATCCGGTTCGGATCGGTTTGAGCCGGTTAGGGTTTGCAGTTGCGGATTCGGGTTCCGATGAGGAGAATCCGCCATAGCTCGAGCTATCGGATGAGCTCGAAGTTGTTGACCGGAAGTGATGAGGTCTGGTCACCGCCGGCGCGTGCTTCTTAGCTTGCTCCGGCGCTCCGCGGGGTGTCCTGAGTCGGGTCACCGGTGGGGACCATTTGAGGTCTGTGTTGCTCTGTTTTTTCTTGGTTGCTGGTGGATCTGGTGCTCTGCAGTTAGTTTCATCGTCGATTGATCGGTAAATGGAGTCGAGCAAGGTAGACGAAAACGAAGGGTAATCGTACCCGCGGCTAACCGGCGGTTTCTGGACTCTCTGCCACTTTTCCATTCGATACTTAAGATCTGAGGATTTTTTTTTTTAGGGGCTTTTTTGTAGCGTTCTGTTTTTGTAAACGCAGAGAAGAGGAGAGAAGTGAGGAGAAACAGAGCGCAGCAATGAGACAGAGAGGAATCGCTCTCTGCTTTTGAGAGTTCACGCGCGGATCGGGTCGGGTCGGATTCTGGTGGTCCGATTGGCTTTTTATAAAGTGGCTGGTGGGACCCAATCTGGATCCGATTTCTTTTGGTAAGTTCACGCCCCTTGGCTTAATTAAGTAAGTGCAGCTAGCGTGGTTAAATTAATCGTTTTGTTTTTATAGATGGCAGTTTGGTAATAAAGAGGATCTCGGTGAGGATTAACATAAATGAGCGCACGCTTGTCGCGGGGAAGAGACGAGCTTGCTTCCCTAAATGACCCTACTAACTAAATTTATGCGCTTGGTGTAAAATTTAAAGCCATTATTTTTAAGGGGGACAGCTAAGGGGATATATTTCTATTTTTGGCATCTTTTATACCTCCGTAGCCGTAGGGTAGTAGGAGAGTTAAGGGTATCTATAGTTTAAGCAAGGGATAATAACAGTTATGTGAGTAATAATCAAAAGGCGTGCCTAAATTATACATGTAGTATTTTGGAGTGAAGAGAAACAGTTAATAACCCAATTCTCAAATTTCAATACCGTCGCTAATAAAAGAATGTTTGCTGGGAGGAATTTATACCTCTTGCCTTCTTTCTCGCAAAGAAAAGGATACAAATTTGTATCTCGCAAAGAATTAATGTTTGGTTAGGAATTATACTTTTCAAATGGTGGTACTATACTGGTACACCGAAGCATATATAATCTATGAGAACGACAAAGGAATCGATAGGTATTTAGCTCCTAGGTAATTAGGCTTTTTCATTAGTCATCCAAAAGAAAAGGCTGATGGATTAGTTGCTAATTTTATATGAGGAACTTTTGCCGCTCGATGATTAGTTTAAGGACACACACGTGGGCAAAAAGGTGCTTAGAGATGGACTAATCATTTTCCCTCATGCTCCTACATGTAGGCCTTTGAGTGCGCCTTGAGATTTTTGCCTTTCCTTCTTCTCTCAGAGTGAGAGCGAGAAGCTTCTTAATCCTGAGGAGCACACTGTGCAGTGCTTAATTAATTAAGGGCATAATAAAGACTAGATCGAGCATGTGATGGCAACGTTTGAGGCTAAAGTAAAAGGAGAAAGAAGGCCTAAAAAGAGAAAAGAAGAAAGTTACCTTATTACCAACGTTCACATTCTCATATATAGCACCGCCACCATTCCTTCAAAAATATTTTCTACAAGTCACTTAAGAGTTCACATTAGCTTTGGTTGAAAAGAAACTGAAGCATACGTACATTTTTTTTCTTTAAACCCAGTCCGGGAATATTTGAAATATTAATTTGTTTAGTGTTTACTAGTAATTAAGTTGACGTCTATTCGGTATAATATAACCTTGAAATCAATATGCACAAACTTTTCCCTATGTTCTAGCTTTTAAGGTGTCATACGAACTCTTACCTATTCTCCTGTCCTTTGAATGTGTTAAAGTTCTCGTCACAAACTTTTTCTTGTTCCAAGGATCTTAAGTTATTATAGATCATACGTCTACTCTCGTATATGTGCCATCTTCTATTATACTTGAGAGTATGTTTTGTTAAGAGAACTTTTTCTCAAGTGCCGGCCACTGGCGAATTTCTATAACTATTTATAGTTTTCAAAATATATTACATTAGATGCGTTTCAGATGCAATTTAAATTTCGATTGCTCTGATATCATGTGACCGTACTGATTATTTTGAAATATCCACTTTAAAGAGACATCGAGGTGGTCTAGACATGGATTATTTTGAAATCCACTTTAAAGAATCACTATTTTTAAACATGCTCTAAAGGACTGAACGGTGAGATTTTAACCTGTTTTCATATTAATTTTAGAGTTGTATTACTAGCAAAGGAATTTTACAACAGGACCAAGTCCAACTATAAAATATACAAAATTAGCAAATAAATTAGAGAAAAAGCTAAAGGTATTGGGATCGATGCAAAAAGGATTTTTGGAAATACGGACCACATACCCACAACCGCGTTGGTTCTATATTTAATCAACCTTCAGAATAAGGTTATCAAAAAATCATTAGGCGGTGTTCTATATATATATAGTTCTTTTTATGTACGGGACAAAGGGGTTTGGTCCCGTATTCCCTAATGAAATATATCATACAGAGGGTCTAGATATATAGGTGTAACTAGGTGTGTAGCGTATGGAATTATTATTTCACAGTCTAAAATCAATCGAATAATTAAATGTTGATACCCGCGCGCATTCTGTCTTCTAACAGTGATAATTTTATTTTATTTTAATTTGAAAGAGGAGTTCCGACTTTGGTTGATCACATGATACGGTTGGAGGAGAGTAACTTTAGTTTTTCGAGTTTTCTGAGTAAAGTTTTATGTTCACTTTGCAATTAGTCACAGGACATGTAAGGTTCCCTTTACCCATTTGTATTAGCTTTGACAGCACGAGAAGCAGGGCAGGGGGGTCTATAGCGCATTGCTTCATGAATGTCACATATAATGATATAATTAGATATTAGAATCCTCTTTTTTTTTTTAGGGAAGAAAAGACGGTGGGATATTAGCTTATTGTTCATGTTTTCTTTAAATTCCTTTATCTACTAAGAACATGAGGAGATTAAAATTCAAACTCTTATATGCTATATTTACTTGATATATAATGTTACTTTATAATTGAACAAATTAATTATACTTACATTAACTATGTACATTGTTGGAGAAAATTTACAAAATGAATTAAAATCAAAGCTCCGACCTATATTGCATGCCATCGGGCTACGACTGCATCAACGACAGTAGTGTTGGGGTTAAGTTGTGTCCATCGTGATCTCGTCTTCACATTTGAGATACAGCTTCCCATTTTGGGCCCCCCTTTCTCTCGCCCTCTTTCTCCTTTCTCTTTTTTTTCTTTATTCAGCTACCGATGTGTGTGAGTGAAGGGGACAGGAGCTGCATAGGGAGAGTCGTAACAGCAATCCCTATACATTAAAGAGGAACACTGTAGCAGGCAGGGGGCAGCAGCTTCTTCTTTACTGCTGCATACCTTTATTATCCGCTCTAGCTAATCTCCTTCAACCCCGTTCCCATCGTCTCAAAAAGCAAAGCGAAGCGAAGCAAAGAGCTAGGAGACTCAGAAACGTGATGCGTAGAGATTTTTTTTTTTTCTTTTTTTCCCCCATTCGATTTTTGAGTGCGAAACCCAACAGTAGGCGTCCTAGGATCCGATTCAGTTTTGCGTCTCCCAGCTCCTGACATTGTCTGCCACGCGTGTCCTCTAACCTCACGTGCGCCTCATGCATCGCTCTCGCTTTAACTTAATTCGATCTGGGAACTTTTTGAGTTATAATCTTCTGGGCCCCACGTACGCCTGTGGAGGGTTGCGGCCTTGGGTGGGGTTAAAAGCAGGTGATTTTAGTAATGCACGGGGGGCGGGTGAATTCATAGGAGCAGGGGGGATCCCGTGAGGTGAGCTGGAGTCGTTTTTGTTTTCCTGCTGCTTTTGTTAATTTGCTCTATTCGCGTCTCTGCTCTCGTGTGATCCCTGCGGTACTTAGCGTCGTCTTTTGCTTTTGTATCAGGCAGCGTGATGGCTGTGTGCTGCTGCTGTGACGGGGCAGCTGTCTGGTCTCCGGCAGCAAACAGCAAAACATGCTGACGTAAGCGGACATACTTGGAACAGTACGTTGTAAGTTGGCGTGTTCTCTCCTCCGAGAGACAAGGACACGCCACTTGGACTCTACTGTTTGGACGATGCACAAGTTTTAAGGTAGATCACTTGTAGGATATAATACATAGAGCACGGATAAGTTAGGCTTCGTTTGGGTACCATGTTGTTTTCTTTATTATATTTTTATAAAAAAACAACATTAAAACGTTTTTCAAAACGTCATGTTAAGTATTTTTGGTCAACACTAGTTTGACCCATTACAACATTAGTATTAAACATATTATTAATATATTATATATTAATTATAATAAAATATATTATAAATAAAATATTATAATATTTAGTTTATATTATTATAGTATTAGAAGTATTAAATATAATACAATATAAAATCGTATAATGTATTATAATGTTATATTGTGCTTAATGAGTTATATTATATTATAATTATTACATATTATTTTCAAATAATTATATATTTAATTATTTTGATATATCAATTTATTATTGTTATATATTATATTAATATTTTTATATAAAAGGGGGTAAGGTTATTTTGGGGATTTTAGCTTAGTTGGCATGTAATAATTGTTAAAAAGGGGCTGCAGCTTTATTTATTATATTTTTATATTATTTAATAAATATTACTAATATATTAGATTAATTATAATATAGTATAATATAGTATAATAAAAAGGTATTGCTATAGGGACCCAAATAGGCGACCCAAGGCATAGGACATGTGATGTGTCACCATCGGGTTGTATGATGCACTGTTCATAAACAGTACATCATGCAACCGGATGGTGACACCTCACATGTCTCATGCTTTGGGTCCCTTATTTGGGTCCCTGAGGCATTAATGATAATAAAAATGTTGATACTAACTCTATATTAATTATATTTAATATATTATGTTAGATATTATATTAACACCTCAAACTCAAAACCAAAACACCAAACTTGAAATAACTTTTAGGTATTTTGAAATAAGTGTTGTATTTTTGATTTGAGGATGATTTGCCTCAAAAACACTATGATTTCGAAACGCATGGTGTTTTATTTTTGACAAAAACACCATGAAAATTAACAAGTAGAACATCATGGTATCCAAACGGAGCTAGCCTTAGTGTTCTTTTGTTGTCATCATGAAAATAAATTTGACAATGAGAATTAGAAAATTCCAATATAAATCTTTAATAACCATCTAGTTCGTTTTACAATATTGTTAGTGTATAAAATTATAATCCTCACCTACCATCACAATATATTTAAAATTTTGTTTTAATGACTATATAGATACTAAGATCGTACTATAATAATTCACATTCCGGACTATATTTCTAAAGGAGTATCGGTGAATCGAATTTCTGGAAAGCGGTCTCAATGCATGATTGGTACTTA